CAACTTCATGTCAGTTAACAAAGTAACATCATAAAAATGTTTTCACCTGTGGAGCAAGGAGCTGCTATTCACACCAATACTAGGAGGAGTGGGGGCAAAAGACTTGGAGGCGATGCTAACCTGCTTGACGGCCAGGAGAATTGGGCTGATACTTACTGAGACGGATCAGCTGAAACGGGAACTGATGAGCCAAGCAGCTGATTGACCACTGGGGCTGGATATGTTCCTGTCTCATGAGAAGCTGCTAAAGATCTGGGAGGGGAAAAGTCAGAGATGGAAACTGCCATGCGCGAACTTCATGCATTCTCCGCTGGCGGTGTCCACGGAAGGGCGCGGGACAAAAGAAGTGCTGCTCGAACGAGTCGTATTAACAGACATATGTCAGAATGTTATTTTGTCTAGCCTGCAGTGGGGTACTCTATAGCGAGTACAACCCAGATTAGGGTTTCCTATATGTACTCAACTGCCTGCTAGTGCAAACCCTCTTTCCTGTTCTATATTTCTGCCTCCTATTTCTCACATTCTATCAGAGTAGGTCGACCCTCCCTGGTCGATCCTGTGGGTGGGCCCACCACCTGCTTCCGCTGCTGTCCTGTCTGTCGCGCGCCCCATGGCGCGCGACGTTTTTTTTCTTCCCGCCACGTGCTCGGGGCGCATGGCGGTTTTCTGCCCGCCGTGCGCTCAGAGCGCGCGGCGGTTTTCTGCCCGCCGTGTGCCCCGAGGCGCGGCGGTTTCCTACCCCGTCGACCCGCGCACCGCCCCCCCTCCTGTCGCCTTGTCGCGGCACTCTGGGGGCCTGCACGCTGTCCTCTCCCGTCGCCTCATCGCGGCGCCTTGGGGGCCCGCGCGCCGCCCCCCCCCCTCCCGTCGCCTCGTCGCGGCGCCTTGGGGGCCCGTGCGCCGCCCCCTCCCGTCGCCTCGTCGCGGCGCTTTGGGGGCCCGCGCGCCCCCCCCTCCCGTCGCCTCGTCGCGGCGCCCTGGGGACCCGCGCGTCGCCCCCTCCCGTCACCCGTCGAGGCGCCCTCGGGGGCCTGCGCGCGGCCCCCCTCCTGTTGCCCGTCGTGGCGCCCTCGGGGGCCCGCGCGCTGCCCCTCCTGCAGCTCGCAAACCGCCCCTGCAGCCCGCGAACCGCCCCTGCAGCCCACGCCCCTGCAGCCTGCGAGCCGCCCCTGCCGCCTCCTGCCCTTGTGCAACTGCGGGGTGGCAGGTATGGGAGTGGCGGGTGTGTGCGTCGCCACTTGCACCTCCTCCTCCTCCGTCTCCCACTGCTGCAGCTGTCGCTGAGGGGGGTGGATGTGTGGGAGCCGAGGGAGTGGTGCTAGGGGGGTGACATGGGAGTGGAGCTAGGGGTGCAGCAGGGGGTGTGTGAAAGGGGGTCTGCGACAGTGGGGGATAGTGTGCGGAGGTATCCGTCGTGTCGCCAGCAGCACCAGTAGTCCGGAGGCTACAATCTCCGGTAGCCCAGCGAGCCTGCTGCGCCAGTCGCCCGTGGGTCCGTTGCTCCTGCCGCTCATCTTAGCCGCGGAGCCAGTTACTCCTGTAGTCCGGAGGCTACAATCTCTGGTAGCCACCGTGTGCGCGCTCCTGTTGCCCGTGTGTCTACGGCTTCACCCGTCGCCTCCAATCTCCTCTCCTCTCATAGTCCAGCCTCCTCCTCCTCACTTGCCCTTTGTGAATGCCTCTAGCTGTACTTGTGCTTGTGAACTATTGCTATGCCTGCTTGTTGTGCTGATTACACCCCACTTTGGCTATGGGGGTGTGTCAGAATGTTATATTTGTCTAGCCTGCAGTGGGGTACTCTATAGCAAGTACAGCCCAGATTAGGGTTTCCTATATGTACTCAACTGCCTGCTAGTGCAAACCCTCTTTCTTGTTCTATCTTTCTGCCTCCTATTTCTCACAACATATCCTCCTAAAGGGGACCACGCCGGTAGGAGGGCAGAAAGCAGCGAAGCGATTGTTCGATGTCAGACTTGGCGATCTTGTCGGTCGAGATGCGGAGGGGAGAGGGGTGCTGAAAAGCCTTGAAACCCTGGAGAGAGAACTGCGGGGGAGGGATTTGGCAAACCTAGCGCTAAAAGCTTTCGCAGCAGCACTGGACTCTTGGAGGAAACATCTCCTCTCTGCCGAGCTTCCCAGCGTGGAATTTGCAGAGGTGTTTGAGGTGAATAGAAAAGCCCCCCCGCAGCTTCGCGCAAAGCTTTTGGCGGAGGGGAAAGCTGTACAGCTGAAGGCACTAAGGAAGCATTGGAAATACAGTAACAGCGGGAAGAACAGGCGGGAGAAGTGGGCGAGCCGGTGGAGTGTTAATATTGATTGGAAGCGGGCAGTCTAGATTCGGGAATCACTTGATACCCCAAGCCGGCCGAGGGATGTTTTGTTGCGCATCCACTGCCTCAACCTGCAAGTGGGGGAAAGACTGGAAAACATCAGCAGCAAACCAGTCTGCCCTCACTGTAGCGTTTTTGAGACTTTGGAGCATTGCCTTCTGGAGTGCCCGAAAACCCAGGGGGTGGTTTCTGCGGTAAAAAGGGCCCTACGGATGATCAATCCAGCCAGGCGAAGCGAAACGCTTGGTGATTGGTTGTTTGGCAAGGCGGAGTCCCTGTCAACATTCCCAGAAGCATCATTGATAGCCATCGCTCTTCATCAACTGTGGGCGGAACGTTGTGAGGGAGCCTTCCGTGGCTGCAAATTCCGCACGAGAAGGGTTCTGTGGAGGATTGAGTCGGCCTTCCGCATGCATGCAAACGTCTACGTGCGTGCCTCGGTGGCGAGGATGCAGTAGCGAGGGAAGTAGCAGCAAGCCACGTGGCAGAAAATGACGAAAAGGAACGTGATCTTTCGAACCGCATCAGAGTGGTGGACGGCAAAGGTTGGAAATGGTCCAACAGTTTCGCGGCAATTTGGGGCAAGCCACGCAGGCCCCGGATCCATGTCTGAGGATCGGAAAATCTGAGGCGGGTCTTCCTGTCTCTCGCGCACAGTTACGACTGTTTATGCATTATACACTTATGTTCTGGTGTATAATTCATATAAGCAAAAAAAAAGAAAAAACAATTCACCCCACTTGCCACGTTCCGCTCGAATGCTCTCCCTACCACAGTTATTTGCTAAACTTGTGCCTGGTTGTTTGCGATTGCACCTGCAATTTAGCTAGCAGTATAATGTGCCTCAGTGTTTGCATCTTAGCTTTAATATTCTCGATATTTATGCTTTCTCGCATGCTCACCTCGGACCTCGATATTGTTATGAAATGAAACTCAATGAAAGGGCATTCCTGTATGCTGCAGGAGCCGACTCTACCGAGTACGAAGCCGAGGAGTCAGAAGCAGGGCCTAAAATATCAGGGTAAAATACCATTTTTGCCCTAATGTAGGCCGATTTTTCCCAGTTACCCTTGTGAAATCAGGTTATCAAAAATTTTACCCTAGAGAAACCAGGCTATGCTGTAATCAACACTGATTGAAATTTCGTCCGATTGGTCATTAGAGCCACTTTTGTGCCAACGCAGGCGGGTCTACGGCCAGATCCGTCTGGTAGCATCAAAAATGGACTCTCCGTTCTTGGAGTGTTACCACGGCTGCATGAGAGCTATAGTGTTCTCGTATCGCAGCCACACCGCGAGCCATCTTCGGAAGTTCTTGTCGGAAAGTCTATCCGTTTGAGCCAATAAACTCACCGAAGGCGTGGGAGCCGCATCCTTCTCTGGAGCTCGTGCCCGATGGTGACGAAGGCCCGTCGAAGCCACCAACTGCGGCCTCGTCCACTGTTAGCAGCGCGCCCGTCAAGAGACAGCATGTGGGGGCGACATACAAGCAGCAAAGGCTCTGGGGCGCACCTCCTCCCCGACGTGCAGCATCACTACCATGGCCTGCCGCTCCTGCTGACCCGAAGCCTCCAACCGTGTATGCAGAAGCTGAGTATGAAGCTGTAAAAGCCACTTTCGACTCTCAGTGGGCAGGTAAATTTCAGCTAGCTACGCTTAATGCGCATGACTAATGGTTGGCCATCGTTGAAATGTGCAATTTGCATCAAGCACGGAAATCCGTCTGCACACACTGCCTACGGTGTAAGAGGTGAGGGTGCTCGAGATTTGCAGATAGGCAGCATCCGCAGTCACACATCAAGCCAAACCCACAAGCATGCACTGGAAAACAAGGCGAAATCAGAGAGGGAGAAAGCGAAGCAAGCCACTCTCACTCGGTGGCAGTCCACCAATGCATCTACTAGGCACATCATACGCTGCCTCCACATCACGCTCTTCATTTGCAGGGTTGACACTCCTATCGCCATGTTTGTTCCTTTGTGCTGGTTTTTGGCGAAGGAGGGATTGCTGGATCTTCCACAGTCTGGAGGATACGGCGCCTATTATACTGAGTAAGTGAGGGTGCTGGTGGTTGTGTTATTGCCGGATCTTCCACCGTCGATCTCTTCTAATGCACTGTGTATTTGTGTGACGTGTCTCTTGTCCGTCGCAGTTACGGATTCAAGGAGAAGCTGTGCGCCATCTCCACGTAACTTCAAGAGACACAGCGCTGGCACTTGCTGGAATCTCCTTGGATCGGGATCTCCTTGGACGAAAGCACCGACAGGGTGCATGGGAAACACCTGATTCTTTATGCGATTTTCTTCAAAGGGACGGCAACGGTAACTGAGTTTTTAACCCTTATCACGGTGGACCGTGCTGATGCTACGTGTCTCACCTCCGCCATCGTGCAGTATCTTACAGGAATTGGTGTTGATCTTCAAAAGATTTCCGGGGTTTCTACCGACGGTGTGAGTGTGATGGTCGGGAAGAACAACGGGGTGGCAGCGAGGCTGCGAATGCGCATTCCACAATTGGCGTCGATACATTGTATCGCGCACCGGTAAGTAACATAACCGTGACTGTAATTTCTGAAGTTTGAAGTGTTTATACCATTCTAACAATAGCTTCCTTCTGTGTTTGACCAAACAGGGAGGCCCTTGCTGCCAAAGATGTTGTCTCGGAGCTCCGCATGGTGGACGACGTGGTGCAGGCATTTGCAGAGCACATCGGCCGCAGCAGCGTGGATTATAGCAAGTTCCAGAACGTGCAGCGGGTCTTCTGCCAGACAAACTTGGAGGCGCAGGGCATCCACGACGTGCGCTGGCTCTCCCGTGGTGAGGCGGTGCAGCGGCTGCTTAACGTACTCCCTGCAGCCATAGTGGTGATGAAGGAGTACAAGAAGGAGCTGTACGAGGTGGTAACCTCGCTCAAGTTCCACTGGCTCATCCGCTTCCTTGCGGATGTGCTGTGGGAACTGAACCAACTCAACTAGGAGCTTTCAGCCACACTAGGTAAGAGTCGTTTATGCAAGGATGTACACAATGGCATACATTTAACACATATTCTGACTCCATCTGTCGCCACTTTGTAAATTGGCATCACCCTCATGGTGCACATCGTACAGCAAATGAGGATGCGCCTGAAAACGTGCTACTTCGACAGGTCACCTGGTCACAATTTTGGCAGCGGTGAGAAGATGCGACTGCCTGACTTCATCAAGGCACACCAGAAGCTGGAGAACCGAGAGATGAAGGTGGAAGGCATTGATGGGGATGGCAACCCCGTCTCCTTTGTCTTCACGCTGCACGAGCGACCACTGCCTGACCACGAGACGGACGGCGATGTGACTGCTTGCGTCGAGCTGTTGTTGAAGTTCATCCGCATCGTGGACGCGGAGCTGGAGTGGCGCATGCGCGACCTCAACCTTTTGGAGGGCGCAAAGCTGTTTCGCACTGCATCATACGTTCCGGATGACACGAAGTGGCTCGAGTCATTCAGGAAGTGGCTTGGCCAGCTCGACAAGCTGTACAACCACAAACTGCCAGGTAAGCAGCGTGGATATCTCACAGTTTCTAATGTCTATATTTTTCTTGCTTCACATATGGCCCAAACGTTGCACGTCTGTGTGTTCCCCATTGGTTGCTGGATTAGTGCTCCCCACCCGACCTATTGCTGTTCGACTAATATCTCCCACTCCAACCCGTATCTGCGAGCATAGGCCTAGTCTCCACCCCCCCCCTAATCTCCCACTACAAACGTGCCGGCCAAGAGCTCTGGATGTTCACATCCACTATGTTCTCCCAGTGAAGAAATGAGGAATGAATGATGAACTAAGAAAATGAGTTGGGTACAAATATGAAACCCAAGAAAGCTGTACCCCATACTGTCTACCCCACTACAGCCTAGAAAGACTATAGTATATAAGTTTGACACACCCCCATAGGCAAAGTGGGGGAGAACAAGGGGTCACAAGACCAGTCAAGCAAGGCACAGCAAGCTCAGGGTGGATGACAACGTCACCACACATTCTGAGCACAAGTTCAAGGGACACAAGGCCAGTTCACATGCAGAGATATATATATAAAGTTAAACATGCAAGTGCAAGTATGTATAGGTCAAAGTACAAGCAAGGTCAAGAAGTGAGCAAGTAAGGCAAAGTAGGTACAAGACCTAACATAGTACAGAAGCGCTGATGATCACAAGGCGCGAGTGCCTTGGTGAAGATATCAGCAGTGTTGGCCTGAGAGGCCACGTAAGCAAGTCGCAGCTGACCACGCTGCTGCAGCTCACGAGCAAGGAAGTAGCGAAGAGCAATGTGCTTCGTTCTGTGCTCCAGTCTGTGCTCACGACACAAGGCCAGCATGGCCTTGTTGTCTACGTACAGAACTGGAGGAGAACGAGGCGGCTCTCCGAGGTCAGTCAGCAGGTAGGTGAGCCAGCGTAACTCCTGTGCAGCCATGGCCCCTGCGTAGATCTCAGCCTCACAGCTCGAGCTAAGAACAGAAGACGAGCGGGTAGACCGCCACGAAACAGAACCGGAACCAAGGCTGAAGGTGTAACCCTGTGACGACCGCTGCGTAGCCAAGTCGTCAACCCAAGACGCGTCTGCGTGACTAGTGAGGACCACTGGACTCCGCCCTCCAAGCACTAGCCCCATGCCCGACGTACTGCACAAGTAGCGCAACACCCTCTTCGCTGCAGCCATGTGCTCAGGGAGGTGTCTCCCAGGAGCAACATAGCGTGCCAGAATGCTGAGAGGGTATGCAAGGTCAGGTCGTGTGCAGGTCATCAGGTACATGAGGCAGCCAACAAGCTCTGGGTACGGGCCACTCGGCTCTACGGACTCATCCGAAGGCAGAGCTGAGAGCGAGTGGCGAGTAGACAGAGGAGTGGCCTGTGGCGAGGAGTACGTGAAGCCGAAGCGCTGAAGGACCTGCTGCACCATGTGTGACTGAGTCAGGGTAATGGTGCGCTGTGCTCTGTCCCGGGTGATCTGCAAGCCAAGGTAGCTGCGCAGTTCACCCAGGTCTGTGCACGTGTGTCTCTTCTGCAGCTCGGACTTCACGTGGGCGAGTCCAGCAGAGTCAGCTGTGGCAAAGACCAAGTCGTCGACGTACACGAGGATGTAGAACGGCGGCAAAGAGGTGTCGGTGCGCAGAAACAGCAACGGGTCAGCAGTAGAAGGAGCAAACCCAAGAGCCGCAAGTGTAGTCCTCAGTGTGTCGTGCCACTCACGAGGTGCCTGGCGGAGACCGTAGACTGGCCGTCGGAGGCTCCACTGGGTGCCAGGAGGAAAAGACCCAGTGAAGCCAGGTGGGCGGCGCAGCCAGATCTCCTCGTGCAGGCTACCCTGTAGGAAAGCAGTGCTGAAGTCAAGAGAGTGAAGCTCGTAGTCGCGCTGAGCGGCTATGTGCAGTAGCACCCGAAGAGTGGTCATCTTCGGGGTGGGAGAGAAGGTCTGAAAGTAGTCAACTCCCTGCCGCTGATTGAAGCCTCGAGCCACGTAACGCGCCTTGAAGACAGGCGGAGAACCCGGGGGCCGCTTCACCCTGAAAATCCACATGCCACTGACGATGTTCGCCCCAGGTGGGGGAACCTCGTCGACGTAGGTGCCTGTGGACTTCCAGGAAGCCATCTCTGCGTCCATGGCTGCCTGCCACTGAGAGGAGTAGGGACCCTCTATCGCCTCCGTGTAAGAGCGCGGAGTCGGGATGTCTGGTGCATCCGGGTCTCCCTCAGGGGCCAGCAGCATGGACACGAGATGAGGTGAAGCAGCAGCAAAGCACTGGAACTCCTCCTGCCTGTCCTCAAGGACGTCCGTGCCAAGGGCACACTCACCCCCGACGGACGGAGGACAGACAGACTCAGACTCAGCGACAAGACTAGCAGCGTAGTCTAGACGACAGCGAGCAGCAAAGTCGACAAGCTCAGCAACTAAGGCAGACGCAGCAGTGGACTCGAAGGAAGGGTCAGTGACGACAGTAGCAAGGAGACGCGTGACAGTAGGACTGGCAGCCCGAAGGGAGTCCGACTCTGGGTCAGCAAGAGCAGGAAGAGAGGACTCAGGAGGAGAAGGCAAAGGGGCACGCAACGGAGCAGTGGAAGGACGCAGAGACATCCGGTGCGTGCTGGGGACAGGGGGAGGATGCTGACGTGAACCACGACCACTAGTGCGAGCAGCACGGACAGGCGACGCAGGACGAGACGCAGGCTCACGATGCTCAGCAAGACCTCCAGTAGGACCAGTGTAGGGAGAAGGAGCAGGCAGTGGGGAGGCTGGCTGTAACTGTGACTCAGACTGGATAGGCGGCGGACACTCTAAGAGAGGAGCAGGACTAGTAGAGGGCGGAAGACCAAGAACCTGCTCAAGGAGCGGAACGAAGTACGGCCGCGGCCGTGCAGCACCCCCAGAACCAGCAGGAACAGCGCCAGCACCACGAACAGCAGCACCAGCTCCAGTAGCACCCCCAGCTCCAGCAACGCCAGCAGCTCCAGCACCAGCACCCCCAACAGCAGCACCAGCTCCAGTAGCACCCCCAGCTCCAGCCGCGCCAGCAGCACCAGCTCCAGCAGCACCAACACCAGCACCCTCAGAAGCACCAGCACCAGCAGCACCTCCAGCGCCAACACCCCCAGCAGCTCCAGCTCCAGCTCCAGCAGAAGGAGTACCCGCAGGCCCAGCAGCTGCTGTACCTCCAGTACGAGCACCTCCGGGACCCGTGGCACCAGCACCCTCAGCAGCAGGAGAACCTCCAGCACCAGCAGCACCTCCAGCTCCAGCAGTACGGCTCCAACGCCGAGCAAACCACTCGCGCAGCTCCTGTGGAGAGAGTAACTCTCGCCGGGACGAAGCACCCGAAGGACCTCCAGGCCCAGTCCCTCCAGACGCCACACGAGCAGGCTCAGCACCCCCAGGCTCCACACCCCCAGGCTCAGCACCCCCAGGCTCAGCAACCCCAGGCTCAGCACCCCCAGTCTCAGCGCCCCCAGAGTCAGCACCCCCAGGCTCAGCACCCCTAGGCCCCGCACCCCAAGGCTCAGCACCCCTAGCAGCACCAGAGTCAACAGCTACCTCGACAGGCTCGACTGCGTCTACCTGGGACACACCTGAGGGGGCAGGACCCTGAGGGGGGAGGGGGTCTACCGGGGGGGGACCTGGCGCGAGGAAGAGCGGCGGCGGGGGGAGGGACGCAGTGCGGTAGGGGAAGAGACGGTAGTAGGGAACCGACTCGACAAACGTGACGTCCTGAGAGGACAGAACACGGCGCGAGGTGGGGTGGTAAAACTGCCAACCAGGCGCGTCAGGGGGGAAGCCAAGGAAGACGCAGGGAACAGCACGGGGTTGACAGCTTGTCCGCAGACAAGTCGCGGACAAACGCCCGGGATCCCCAAACACGGAACGCAGACGCATCGCCAACCTTCCCCGTCCACCGCAGAGCAGGGGAGGTCTCCGGCATGGAGACCCGGGGCTGAAGGTTGATCTGATGCGCCGCGTACTGAACCGCGAACGGCCACAGAAAATGGGGGGCAGCCGCATGGATCATGGACGTACGAGCGACGTCCATGACCATGCCAATGCGGCGCTCAGCAATCCCATTTTGCTGTGGAGAGGCCGGAAGCGTGAACGTCTGGCGGATGCCCTGTGCACGACAGAAGGCTCGCAGAAGGTCAGAGGAGAACTCTCCGCCTCTGTTGGAGTGCAGACGCAGAACAGGAAAGTCAGAGCCGAAACTCTCTCTGAGCTGGAGACGAGCAGCGCGGATCCAGTCGATCAACACCCCAGTGACCTCACCCTTGCTGCGCAAGGGGAAGACGGTGGTGTAACGCGAGTAGTCGTCAACCACCAGCAGGAAGTAATGCTCGTGACCCTGTCCACGGACGCGGGCTGGGCCCCACACGTCCATGTGAAGCGTCTGCAGTGGAGCCTCTGTCGGAGGAAACTCGGAGGAGTGAGGAGCAGCGCGCTGCCGCCCCTCGACGCAGGGAATGCAGGTAGGGGCAGTCCCTGGAGGAAGAGGAGGGAGGGACCGGGGGAGACCAGAGACAAGGACACGGGAGGCCATGCCTCGGAGACGAGGCAGGGAGGGGTGACCAAGGCGGTGGTGCCAGTGGAGAGTCTGGTGAGACGGGAGACGACACGAGCAGGGGGCAGACTCAGGACCAGACCTGGACGCCGCAGCAGACACCTGACCCGATGCAGCTACCTGACCAGACGCAGCAACCGGAGGAGACCCAGTAGTCAGTGTGTACAGGCTCGACCCCGGCCGACGGGTAAACGTGGCCAAGTGTCGGCCCGTCCGAGCACACGTGCAGTGGGTCACTCGCTGACTCGCAGGAGTGAACTGGTGAATACCCCCATCCTGTAGATCAGCACCACTCACCAAGTTCGTAGAGAACGAGGGGAGGTAAAGACCTGATAGGGTGCCAGAAGGGGCCGACGGACACGGTAAGACAGTGGAGAAGTGGGCAAGGACAGGACCCCCAGAGAGGTCTGCCAGGGAGACCGCAACTGGCCGACTAAGCGGCGTGAGTGTGGTGCGGTCTCGAAAGAAGGAGCGGGAAGCACCCGAGTCAAGGGTGAAGGTGTGGGAGGCCTGAGCCGACGTGGTACCTGAGAGAGCAGAGTCACCAGCACCTGGGGCAGCAGACTCACTAGCACCTAGAGCAGCAGTCTCACCAGTACCTAGAGCAGCAGCCTCACCAATGCCCGGGTCAGGC